TGTCTTGGCTCAATCAGTCAAGCAGGATGAGTTCTTTTACTGAGGGAGGGTCAGCCTTTTGTTCTATTGAGGCCTTCGATTGATTGACAGAGATCCACTCACATTAGGGAGAGCAATCTGCTTACCTACTTACTCAGTCTACTGATTTAAATGTTATTCTAATCCAAAACACCCTCACCAGACACATAGAGTAATGTTTGACATAATACCTGGGCACCCTTGGCCCAGTCAAGTTGCCACATAAAAGTAACTATCACGGCCAGGCATGGTAGTTCACATCTGTAATTCCAGCACTTTGGGAGGCTGATGTGGGCAGATCACGAGGTCAAGAGATTGAGACCATCCTGGCAAACATGGTGAAACCCCATCTCTACTACAAATACAAAAATTAGCTGGGTGTGGTGGTGTACACCTGTAGTCCCAGCTACGCAGGGGGCTGAGGAAGGAGAATCACTTGAACTGGGAGGCAGAGGTTGCAGTGAGCAGAGATCATACCACTGCACTCCAGCTTGGTGACAGGGTGAGATTGTCTCAAAAAAAAAAAAAAAAAAAAGTAACCATCACAGGGGCTCCTGGAGAGAACTTGTTCTTTGCCTCTTCCAGTGAGTAGTGGCTCCAGGTATTCCTTGGTTTGTGGCCGCATAATTGCAATCTCTGCTGCCATCTTCACATGCCCTTCTCTCTCTCAAATCTCCCTCTACTTTACTCCTATAAGGACAATTGTCATTGGATTTAGCCCACTCAGATGTTGCAGGATGATCTCATATTGAGATTCTCAATAATATCTGCCAAAACATCTTTTGCAAATAAGGTCATATTCACAGGTTACAGGGGTTAGCATGTGGATATATCTTTTTGAGGGACATTCAACCTATGACTGGAGGCAAGGCCAGTGGTAGGGAGATTGGTTAGGAGGCTAGTGCAGAAATCCCGGCAGGAGATGATAATGGTTTAGGCCAGAGTGATAGCAGTAGAAATGGTGGAGAGCTGAAAAGATTAATGACAGATTGGATGGGGAGTGTGAGAGAAAGATAGGATTCAATGATAACTCCAAGGTTTCGGTATGAGAAGTTAGAAGAATGGGATTCCTTCTGTGGGTTGGGGAAGGCCAATGGTGGAGCAGGTTTTTGATTGATTCACTGCTTAAATTATTTTTTGGTGGAGCAGATCTGGAGTTCAGTTTGGACATATTAATTTTGAAATGTGTTAGACATTCAAGTGGAGATATTAAGCAGGCAGTGGGATTCACAAGTCTGAAAACTGAGAGGAGACATCTATATTAGAAATGTGAATTTGGTAATTTTCAGTGTATAGAAGGTATCTTAAAGCCACATGACAAAGTTTATTAACCTCAAGGAATAAGGATCCAATTATATGGAAAGTTGTGTGGAATCCAGTTTGTCTGGGAAGGGTGAGTCCAGCTCATCTGAGGTGAGACACTTTAGTCTTTGCTACTCCTGGGACTGGCAGCATTGACATCACCTGGGAGCCTGTCAGAAATGCAGAAGTTCAGATCCCACCTCAACCCACAGCCTCAGGATGTGCACTGTACAAGATGCCAGGTGTTTTCAATGCACGTTGAAGTTTGAGAAGTGCCACTCTCAGCAGTACAATTACTCACCTCACTTTCAGTGTTTGTGGGATGGGCTTAATTTAAATTTTCTGGGAACACTCATTTAGAATGTCTGCTAGAATGAAACAAAGGATTAGGGAACATTCTATAGAAAAGGGCAGATACCTCGTTATCTAAAAGGTGTCCCCAGAGGTCCAGCAAGGGGCAGCAACCTCAGGGGAAAGCACGCGTGAGGGTGCAGGTGAATGGGGATCATCGTATGTTGACCATTTGCCTCCTCAGTACCAGTCTTCACAGCCCAAGAGTCCTTGTGGTGTTTCTTCGCTTTCTCCAACCCCCTCTCACCACCTCCTGATACAATTATTGTGAATTTTATAGCCCTTAAAGGATCTGGGGGCACCTCAGGTGCATGGATTTTTTTTTTAACAGATAAAGTGTGGTTTCTCTAAAAGTCTTAAAACATTTATTTTAGAAGGTGAGTCTTTTTCCCTCTGTTCAGTGAGGTTTGTACCAAAATAATCTATAAATCCTTGTGTGTGTAGGTGAATAGACTAATTTTAGGAGATGCTCTCTCCTGGGAGAATGGCTCACAGCCTGAGGATAAAGGTACTGATGTAACTCATTTTAACCCATGATTTGAGAAATCCACTTTCAAATATTTGCTTTATGAGGATTTTGAAAATAGGTATGTCTTGTTTACATAGACCCATTTCAGAAGACTTCTCATGAACTCTAACTTCTAGAAACCAAGCTGCATTTCTCCATGAACTAATGTGATTATTTCAGAGATACTTTGAGTGAGGCCCCCATTTCTGAGTGAGGCACAAGCAAAACTTATCTCAGCTTGGGAATAGGGTGACCAACTGTCCCTGTTTGCCTGTGACTGAGAGGTTTCCTGGGATAAGGGCCTTTTAAAAAAACAGACAATACTTTTACAGTAGTTTTAGGTTACCAGCATAAATGAACAGAAAGTACAGAGACTTCCCATATTACCTCCTTCCCCCACACCTGCACAGCCTCCTCCACTATCAACAGCCACCACAGTGGGAACATATGCTACAATCGATGAACCTACTTTGACATGTTATTATCACCACAAATCCATAGTTTACATCAGGGTTGGTGTTGTATTGTAGGGTGTTTACATCAGGTTGGTGTTGGTGTTGGTTTTGGACAAATCTATAATGGCAGTCATCTATCATTACAGTATCATACAGAAAAGTTCCAGTGTTCTAAAAATCCTCTGTGTGCCACCCATTTATCCCACCTTTCTCCCAAATCCCTTACAACCAGTGATCTTTTTACTATGGATTTGCCTTTTCTAGAGTGTTATATAGTTGGAATTGTATACTCTATAGGCTTGTTAGATTGGCTTCTTTCACTTAGTAATAGGCATTTAAGTTTCCCCCATGTCTTTTCCTGGCTTGATAGCTCATTTCTTTTTTAGTGCTGAATAATATTCCATTGTCTGGATGTATCACTGCACTGCTTACTTATACATTCATCTACTGAAGGATATCCTGTTGGCTTCCAAGTTTTGGCAATTACGAATAAAGCTGCCATAAACATCCATGGACAGATTTTTGTGTAGACATAAATTTTCAACTTATTTGAGTAAATACTATGAGCATGATTGCTGGATCCTATGGTAACAGTATGTAAGAAATCGCCAAACTGTCTTCCAAAGTGGCTGAAACACGTTCCCATTGGCAATGAATTAAAATTTCTGTGCTTCATGTCCTCACCAGTATTTGGTATTGCTGGTGTTTTGAATTTTGGCCATTCTAATAGGTATGTAGAGGTATCTCAATGTTGTTTTAATTTGCAATTCCCTAGTGACATTCGATGCATCTTTTTATATATTTATTTGCCATCTGTGTATCATCTTTGGCCAAGTTATCTGTTCAGTCTTTTAATTTTTTAATCAGGTTATTTGTTTTTATACTGCTGAATTTTACAAGTTCTTTGTAAATTTTGGATTAAAAGTCCATTATTAGATTTATCTTTTGCAAATACTTTTCTTATCTGTGGTTTGTCTTATCATTCTCTTGATTATATCTTTCATAGAAGAGAAATTTTTTATTGTAATGAAGTCTAGCTTATCAATTATTTCTTTCATATATCATGCCTTCAGTATTGTGTCCAAAAAGTCATTACTACACCCAAGATTATCTAGATTTTCTCTTGTTATCTTCAAGGAGCTTTATAGTTTTGCATTTTACATTTAGGTGTATGATATGTTTTGAGTTAATTTTTGTGAAGGGTGTAAGGTTTGTGTCTAGATTTGTTATTTTTGCATGTGGATATCTGGTTCTTCCAGCCCTATTTGTTAAAAAGTCTGTATTTTCTCCATTGTATTGACTTTGCCTCTTTGTCAAAGATAAGTTAACTATATTTCTATGGCCCTGTTTATGAGCTCTCTTCTGTTCCATTGATCTATTTGTCTAATCTTTCACCAATACCACATTGTCTTCAATATTATAACTTTATAGTAAGTTTATAAAAAGTCCAAACTTTGTTATTTTTAAATTGTAAAAAGTGTACAATGTGATGTTTTTATATAGTTATCTTGATATACATACACATTGTGAAGCAATTACTATGGTTAGGCAAACTGCATGCCCATTGTCCCACATAGTTACTGTGTGTGTCTGTGTGTGTGTGTGTGTGTGTGTGTGTTTGTGTGTGTGTTGTGTGTGCGTTAAGAGTTTCTAAAATCTATTCTCTTGGCAAATTACAAGTAGAGTATATAGTATATAATATATTATTAACTATTGTCCTTATGTTATGCATCATATCTTTTTAAATTACTCATCCTACATAACTGCAACCCATCCCCACTATCCCACTATCCGCCCCTGGTAACCTTTTTTTTTTTTTTTTTTTTTTTTTTTTTGTATGTGTAACCACGATATTGAGGTCTGATTGACATACAAAAAGCTATATGGATACATGGTGGATATGTTAAACTGCTTGACTGTAGGAATCACTTTTTTTGTGTGTGTCTATGTATATATGTAGGTGTCTATCTATCTGTCTCATCTATCACTACAGTCTTGTGCTGTATAATGACATTTTGGTCGACAATGAACTACATATACAACAGTGGTTCCATAAAATTATAATGGAGCTGAAAACTTCATATCGCCTAGTGAAGTCATAGCTGTCATAATGCCTTAACTTTTTAGTTACCATAAAGTTGTAGCACAACACATTACACATGTGTTTTAGGTGATGCTGGTGTAAACAAACTTATTGTGCTGCCAGTTGCATAAAAATATGGAACATACAATTAGGTTCAGTAAATAATACTTGATAATGATAATAAATGAGTATGTTAGTGATTTATGTACTTCCTATACTATACTTTTTATTGTTATTTTAGTGTACTCCTTCCAGTTATTAAAAATAGCTAACTATAGAGTGAGCGGCGGGGTCGGCTGACGGTAACGGGGCACAGAGGCTTTTAGCAGAGCTGCTGAAGATGAATGCCAGAGGACTTGGATCTGAGCTAAAGGACAGTATTCCAGTTACAGAACTTTCAGCAAGTGGACCTTTTGAAAGTCATGATCTTCTTCGGAAGGGTTTTTCTTGTGTGAAAAATGAACTTTTGCCTAGTCATCCTCTTGAATTATCAGAAAAAAATTTCCAGATCAACCAAGATAAAATGAATTTTTCCACTCTGAGAAACATTCAGGGTCTGTTTGCTCCACTAAAATTACAGATGGAATTCAAGGCAGTGCAGCAGGTTCAGCGTCTTCCATTTCTTCCAAGCTCAAATCTTTCACTGGATATTTTGAGGGGTAATGATGAGACTATTGGATTTGAGGATATTCTCAATGATCCATCACAAAGCGAAGTCATGGGAGAGCCACACTTGATGGTGGAATATAAACTCGGTTTATTGTAGTAGTGTGCTGTTCATGGAAGCTGACGGCTGCATCTTGTTTAGAGTCATCTCTTTATTGTAATTTGATGTACATGACATTAAAAGTACTGACATCTGCGAAGTTCTGCTCAAGTAGTATCAGTGATTATTTAAAAGTTTGGGAGTCTTTGGTTTACAGCCATGTGACAATTAAAAGCACTAAAGGGAGCTCATGTTAAAGCTGTTAATTTGTATTAAAACAATACTCTATGTCTTCAAAAGAAATTGTTGCTTATGAAAATTATAAAATGATCTACAGGTTTCAATTCAACCTGTTTTCTAGGTTTTCTGTGAACTTACTTTTGAATAAGCATTTATAAGCATTTCAGTCTGTAAACTTTATAGTAGCATCTTTCAGAATAAACATTTTTAATCGATTTCAGTGGCAACACTTCAAATTGAGTACACTATGAGATATATCAGTATCGTCCATTAACACTCATAAGAATAATATTTACCTTATCAGTGCTATCTTAGGATTATAGCTATGCTTTGATTCTTTCACGTTGAAAAGTAGAAGTTCCAAGGTTTTGATTTTGGTCTGGTCTTTAAGTGAAAAAGCAACCAGTAAATGTAAGTTAAACTTTTACTTCATAGACTTAATATGTAATTAATATATTACCAGGCAACACTGTTAAAGAAAAGTAAAACGCATTTTTTCTTGTTCTTAATTTGTATATTATAAAATGCCATAAAATATTCTTTATGAACTTGGTGTATAAAAATTTATATTTTTAGAACATTAGTGAATCGGTCCTCTTTTACAAATAAAAGTATATTTTGATTATTTAGAAAAAAAAATAGCTAACTATAAAACAGCCTCAGGCAGATCTTTCAAGACATATTCCAGAAGAAGGCATTGTTATCATAGAGAAGACAGCTCCATGCATGTTATTGCCTCCCTCTGAAGATCTTCCTGTGGGACAAGATATGGAGGTTGAAGACAGTGATATTAATGATCATGACCTTGTGTAGGCATTAGCCTGTGTGTGTTTGTGTCATATTTTAAAAGTTTTAAAAGTAAAAAAACAAACAAACAAAAAACCTGGGAAAAAAGGCAGTTATGAGCTCTGCTGCAGCAGACTTAAATGTACTTGCCCAGAAGCTCTGAATGGAACAATGGAGCTCCCAGCACAGCACTTGAGCTCCTATAAGGGACAAACTGTCTCCTCACGCAGCTCCCCAACACCCATATATCCAAAGAGACACCTCATAAAGGAGAGCTCAGGATGACATTTGGTGAGTATCCTTCTGGGATGAAGATAACAGAATAAGAGATTAGCAGCAACCCTTACTGTTTTGCAGCCACTGCAGGTGATCCCCAGGCAAGCAGGGTCTGGAGTGGACCTCCAGCAGTCCTACAGCAGAGGGGCCTGACTGTTATAAGGAAAACTAAAAAACAGAAAGAAATAACTTTAACATCAACAGAAATGACATCCACTCAGAGATACCATCCAAAAGTCACCAACTACAAAGACCACAGGTAGATAAATCCACAAAGATGGGAAGATACCAGTGTAAAAAGGATGAAAACGCCCAAAATCAGAATGCCTCTTCTCCTCCAAGGGATCACAACTCCTCACTAGCAAGGGAACAAAGCTGGATGGAGAATGAGTCTGATGAATTGACAGAAACAGCCTTGAGAAGGTGGAGAATAACAAACTTCTCTGAGCTAAAAGAACATGTTCTAACCCAATGCAAATAAACTAATAACCTTGAAAAAAGGTTTGACAAAATGCTAACAAGAATAAACAGCTTAGAGAAGAATACAAATGACTTGATGGAGCTGAAAAACACAACATGAGAACTCCGTGAAGCATATACAGGTTTCAATAGCCGAATTGACCAAGCAGAAGAAAGAATATCAGAGATTGAAGAACAACCCAATGAAATAAAATGAGAAGGCAAGATTAGAGAAAAAATAGTGAAAAGAAATAAACAAAGCCTCCAAGAAATATGGGATTATGTGAAAATACCTAATGTACGTTTGATAGGTGTACCTGAATGTGATGGAGAGAATGAATCCAAACTGGAAGGCACTCTTCAGGATATTATCCAGGAGAACTTCCCCAACCTAGCAAGGCAGGCCAATATTCAAGTCCAGGAAATACAGAGAACACCACAAAGATATTCCTCAAGAAGAGCAACCCCAAGGCACATAATTGTCAGATTCACCAAGGTTAAAATGAAGGCAAAAATGTTAAGGGCAGCCGGAGAGAATGCTTGGGTTACCCACAAAGGGAAGCCCATCAGACTCACAGCAGATCTCTCAGAACAAACCCTACAAGCCAGAAGAGAGTGGTGGCCAATATTCAACATCCTTAAAAAAAAAAGCGCTTTCAACCTAGAATTTCATATCCAGCCAAAGTAAGCTTCATAAGTGACAGAGAAATAAAATTCTTTACAAACAAGCAATTGCTAAGAGATTTCGTCACCACCAGGCCTGCCTTACAAGAGCTCCTGAAAGAAACACTAAACATAGAAAGAAACGACCACTACCAGCTACTCCAACAACATACCAAATGGTAAAGAGCATCGATACAATGAAGAAACTGCATCAACTAACAGGAAAAACAACCAGCTAACATCAGAATGGCAGGATCAAATTCACACATAACAATGTTACCTTAAATGTAAATGGGCTAAATGCCCCAATCAAAAGACACAGACTGGCAAATTGGATAAAAAGCCAAAACTATCAGTGTACTGTATCCAGAAAACCCATCTCACATGCAAGGACACACATAGGCTCAAAATAAAGGGATGGAGGAAGATTTATCAAGCAAATGGAGAGCAAAAAAAAACTAGGAGTTGCAATCCTAGTCTCTGACAAAATAGACTTGAAACCAACAAAGAACAAAAGAGACAAAGAAGGGCATTACATAATGGTAAAAGGATCAATGCAACAAGAAGAACTAATAATCCTAAATATATATGCACCCAATACAGGAGCACCCAGCTACATAAAGCAAGTTCTTCATAACCTATAAAGAGACTTCACTTCCACACAATAATAGTGGGAGACTTTAACACTCCACTGTCGATATTAGACAGATCAACAAGACAGAAAATTAACAAGGATATCCAGGACCTGAACTTAGATATGGACCAAGCAAACCTAATAGACATCTACAAAACTCTTCACCCGAAATCCACAGAATATATATTCTTCTCAGCACCACATTGCACCTACTCTAAAATTGACCACATAATTGGAAGTAAATCACTCCTCAGCAAATGCAAAAGAACGGAAATCATAACAAACAGTCTCTCAGACCTCAGTGCAATCAAATTAGAACTCAGGATTAAGAAACTCAGAACCGCATAACTTTATGGAAACTGAACATCTGGCTCTTGAATGTTGACTGCATAAACAATGAAATGAAGGCAGAAATAAAGATAGTCTTTGAAACCAATGAGAATGAAGACACAGCATACGAGAATCTCTGGACACATTTAAAGCAGTTTCTAGAGGAAAATTTATAGCAATAAATGTCCACATGAGAAACAAGGAAAGATCTAAAATCGACACCCTATCATCAAAATTGAAAGAGCTAGCAGAGCAAGATCAAAAGAACTCAAAAGCTAGCAGAAGACAAGAAATAACTAAGATCAGAGTGGAACTGAAGGAGATAGAGATACAAAACTCCCTTCAAAAAATCAATAAATCCAGGAGCTGGTTTTCTGAAAAGATCAACAAAATAGACCACTAGCCAGATTAATAAAAAAGAAAAGAGAGAAGAATCAAATCAGTGCAACAAAAAACAATAAAGGGGATGTCACCACGAATTACACAGAAATACAAACTGCCATTAGAGATTACTACAAACAACTCTATGCACATAAACCAGAAATGGATAAATTCCTTGACACTTGCACACTCCCAAGCCTAAACCAGGAAGAAGTTGAAATCTTCAATAGACCAATAACAAGGGCTGAAGTTGAGGCAGCAATTAATAGCCTACCAACCAAGAAAAGCCCAGATCCAGATGGGTTCACAGCCAATGTCTACCAGACATACAAAGAGAGCTGGTACCACTCCTTCTGAAACTATTCCAAACAATCCAAAAAGAGTGAATCCTTCTGAAATCATTTTGTGAGACCAACATCATCCTGATAACAAAACCTGGCAGAGACTCAACAAAAAAAGAAAATTTCAGGCCAATATCCATGATGAATATAGATGCAAAAATCTTCAATAAAATACTGGCAAATCCAGTGCAACAGCACATCAAAAAGCTTATCCATCACGATCAAGCAGGCTTCATCCTGGGGATACAAGCCTGGTTCAACATATGCAAGTCTATAAACGTAATCCACCACGTAAAGAGAACCAAATAAAAAAACCACATGATTATCTCAACAGATGCAGAGAAGGCCATCAACAAAATTCAGCAGCCCTTTATGCTAAAAACTCTCAATATACTAGATATCAATGGAACATATCTCAAAATAATAAAAGCTATTTACAACAAACCCACAGCCAATATCATACTGAATGGGCAAAAACTGGAAGCATTCCCTTTGAAATCTGGCACTAGGCAAGGATGACCTCTCTTACCACTCCTATTCAATCTGGTATTGGAAGTTCTAGCCAGAGCAATCAGGCAAGAAAAAGAAATTAAAGGTATTCAATTATGAAAGGAGGAAGTCAAATTGTCTCTATTTGCAGATGACATGATTGTATATTAGGAGACCCCATCATCTCAGCCCCAAATCTCCTTATACTGATAAGCAACTTCTGCCAAGTCTCAGGATACAAAATCAACATGCAGAAATCACAAGCATGGTTCCTATGCACCAGTAACAGACTAAAAGAGAGCCAAATAAAGAACGAACTCCCATTTACAATTGCTACAAAGAGAGTAAAATACCTAGGAATACAACTATCAAAGGATATAAACGACCTCTTCAAGGAGAACTATAAACCGCTGATCAAAGAAATAAGAGAGGACACAAACAGATGGAAAAACATTCCATGCTCATGGTTAGGAAGAATCAATATTGTGAAAATAGCCATATTGCTCATAGTAATTTATAGATTCAATGCTATCCCCATTAAACTACCTATGACCCCCTTCA